TGCTCTTCGCGTGTCTTTTTCTGAATACGTTTCGCAATCCCATGCGAATAACGCATCATCACTCATACTTGAAAGCACGTTTAGTTTGAGAGGTGAAACCTGTGTTACTGCGTTATCGTCTCTACACGTTTTCCACACCTGTAACCGTAATTGTCTTCTATTTCTTGAATTCCCAAACTTTTTTGGCTTCTTCTAATCAGACAGAAATGCGAGTTGTGTAAGTAAAAAACCCAATCTAATTCATCGTGAACGTCTCTGGGGTGAAAATGTCTGTTTTTGGGATTATAAATTTGAAACGAAGTGTTAAATTTCTTGTTGAATTCCTTCATTCTAGCACAAGTCATCACTCCTTTTCTATTTGCTTTTGAAAACCCGTTGATGTATTCTTGAAATTTACACGTTAAATCTTTGTTCAAAACACGATTGACGCATTTGATAAAACAATGACCATCTGTAGGTATGAAACAATTTTCGCCTTCGTATTCATTTATTCCTCTACCAACTCTCGACCTTTTGATTTCTTGGAAATTGTCTTTCATTAAAATTATTTTTCCTGTAAAATACCAATCGGAAGCATCAGATTTTTTGTCCATATTTGAAAAGATATTGTGAAAAGTTTTGGCATTGAAACCGAGGAGCGACATGTATTGTCTGTGATTCCCTTCCTCGACTATCTCTCCATCTATTTTAATTTGTCCTTTGAATGTTTTGAATTTATCAGAGATAGCCTTGATAACATCGGAAAATAGGGCCGTTTTCTATCAATGTTTCATCGTGTTCGATTTTATTCATATTTTTTTAAGTATATATTTTTGATTATTTCTTTATTTTGACCGCTGATATTTCTGTATGGAATTTGTCCAAAATTTCATTGAATTCTTTTAATTCTTCAACTGTTATGTTCTTGTTTTCTCTCGATCTTTCGAAAAAGATGTACAATTGATTAAGATACATCGTTTGAATCGGCTTTTTAATGAGCTTTCAATTTGGTTGGGACGATGACCGGAAGCATTAATCCACCAGTCACGGCCGTTGCCACCGTTACTCCTACCGTTAGAACTGTGCTCGCTGTTTTGAAAAAAGAATCGATTCTACTCCATGTATTGCACTGTCTCAACTTTGTTTGTCTATCATGTATTGTTGTCTGCTTTCGAGTCCCATTTTTTAAGTCACTTAATTAAGTGAATTTCCGATAAATGGAACCACGGAATATCGTATAGAGCGAACTTGTTTGGCCTAGCATTATTATATTTGCGGGTATTAAAAGTAAAAACATTTACGCGTACTAATGACATTTCTTTTTTCGTATGGTCCTCTTTAAGATGATAGGAATATTTCATTTTTTCTTTTTCGATGTTTATCTTAGCTCTAGAAATAAAACCACCACCTTCAAGGATGGAGTCGGAACCTTCGGCAAACGATAAATGTACTATAAACTCTCTTTCTTGTTGACTTTTATGAACATCGATCGAGGTGTATTTTCCATCGTAATCAAAATACAGATTTACGTATTCAAAGTCTGTTGTTCGTAAAAACTCGTGACTGCTCGATTCTATTGGTCCGGGTACGTATACGGGTATTATAAGTGATGGTGGAATTTTGACAATGTTGGTTAATGGTGGATTTTCCGTCTCCAATATCATATCCAAATCTTTGATTCCAATGATATCCTTATCATTTTCTACTTCCATTTTAAAGGTGTCTACATATTTACCATTTTTCGTTTCAATTTCCTGATCCCTTTTATCAATCAAATTACCATCATTGAATAATGAAATATGTTTGACGGCCTTACAGGTTTGTTTGAAGACTACTTTAACCTTCATGGGAAACTCTATTTGAATCAGACAATTACCCCGAAAAGAAAACTCTTGCGTTTCGCCGATATCGAATACGTTTTTAGGTTCTCCGTATGCGAGAGAACCCACTTTTATTTCTGCTTTGAATCCGTGAAATAATACGATTTGTCCGTGACAATAGCTTCTAATTTGCTCAACTTTCTCTCTTGTCTCAAAAAATCGTCATGAATTCTAGATACCAAAAGACTGACCTGTTCTTTAATATATTTTTCATATCATCTCGAAATTTATTTTGAAGAAAGTTTTTAATCACACCCACTTCTTTTTCTAATTCGTCCGTGATTTTAGTATCCAAAGCAGTCAATTGTCGTTTCAACGTATCTTTGTCAATGGGAAGTGTGTTAATTATATCTTGAACATCTGATGTTTGCTTCGCGATCTTTTCGTTCAAATTGGATATCGAATTTTGTAACTCGGTTTTGTCCGCGGTCTTGTCTAGTTCTGCTAGCAATTCGCCAAGTTTTCTTTCCAAAGCGGTTAGTTTTCGTTTCAATCTATCCTCGTTTACATATCTATTAAACGTTGGACGTCTATTTTTACCTTCGTAATCTTATCGTCTAATTTAGATATTAAATTTTGCAACTCACTTGTCTGATGTATCTTTTCACGTCATTTATTCTATTTTCAACATGGTCCTTATCTATTTGAATTGCGTTTATTTAATCCAGTAAATATTTCTTGTTCACGGCATCGTTATCGTTTCCTGGAAACTTTAAATTAGTTATTTTGAAATTGTTCCTATCGATATCCCCTTGTAAGGTGTCTCCGATTTGATCCACGAAAAGAGGTTTCGCTTTGTTTATAAACGCCGTAGAACTCATGGGATTTTTAGATTCTAGAGGTAAAGACACTAATCCAAACTTGTTTGCCATTTTTATTGAGTTAAATTTATTATAATTTCTTCAAACTTTTCTCCCAAACTCAACCGATATAAAAACCCAAAGCGACATCTGTCCACACAGCTTTTGTCCTGGCATTTGAATTTGAAACGTAGAACATTTGATTGGTTTGCTAGTCAATTTCGTTATCTCTTCTGTTGGTTCTAGACCGAAAGAATCAAAGAAATAAAAGTTATTCGAAGAATCTTTGTGTAGAGCAGAGTGATGAACTCCTTTTTGATCCGAAGGTGTGAATGTTTGTGTTACCTTTCTTGTATTTCAGTTCATCAATTTCATCTCGCATGCAATAATAAAACGGCGAGACGTTCAACTCCTTGGCCCATTTCACAAGTGAAAATTTGTGGTCGTGTCTTTTCCGTATTTATCGAGAAATGCATTCATTTTTTAAGTTGATTTTTTTTTTAGGTGTTTTTCGAAGTAGGCGGAAAGTATTGCTGAAGACCCAATTGACGAAATATATACTTAGTTTGTGTTTGAAAAAACTTGTGTTGACGGACTTTATGATATTCGGGTTATTAGAGGCTTGCGATGGCATCACACCTATAGACGAATGTATTTTGTTATTGTATTCGTCGACAACAACTGGTAATATTAAGCTATTTTTGAGATTTCAATTCCGTGAATTTCTTGAATAATTTGCTTTTAAGAGTCCTGTTGAATCTTTCTATCACTACGGCTTTACCTTCGTTATGCGTGCTGTAAATTTCAAACCCCAGAGATTTCATATTTCTGTTGTAGAATTCGCTTCCTTTATCAACCCACAACTTTAGGGGTCGTCTGTCGGATTGTTTCATTATGGTTTCGAATGCTTGTTTGACAGTCAGACCCGATTTCAAGGGAAAGACCCAAGCGTATCTCGTGTATATGTCGATCACCGTCAAACAATACTTGTACCCTCTCTCGACTGGCATGTTGATTAAATCGGCTGACCAAATTTCATCTTTATCAAAAACTTTGAGGTAATGTTTGTTTTTTCGAAATTCTTTGTGAATCTCGTCTGCTATGCCCATACCCAATTTCAATTTTGCCTTCAAGAGTTTTATGATAAGAGCCCTTTGTAATTTCTCTTTGAAAGTGGGATTGGGAATATTTTCGAGTTCGTCTAACGTGTTTTAAAATTAAAGACATTTTTAGTGCGGTTATTTTATACTGTATTATTATAGTGATTCTTGTCTGTGGTTTGGGTAATTTATATGGAGTCTGTTATAATACAGTTTGGGGAGTCTGTTATAATACATTTTTAACAGTTTGGGGAGTCTGTTATAATACATTTTAACAGTTGTGTCTTTTCGGATATGACGCATTGAAAAAGCTGCGCATGCGCAGAAGTGAAATGCGTCATATCCGAAAAGACATATACTACTGAGCTCCTTTCACCCAAAACATACCTTTTCTGGTATAATTAAGTCACAAGTTTTACGATTTCATCGAATTTGTACAAGATCTTCTGATTTCAACCAAGCCTGTACGATTGTTTTCTCAAAACTGAGCACAGATAGCAGCTAAAAACAGACTTTATGCCGAAGTACCTCCAAGTTTAAGAAGTGCTCCATGTTTGTCCAGTAGATGCAAAACATGTTCCTTTATATCAGAAACTCATTATTTTGTAAGCAACTCTACGAATAAAAGGTACCCGATCCAGGAACATCTAACATGTGAACATTTGAATGTAATATATTTAATTTCATGCAAGAAATGCCCCAAACAATATGTAGGAGAAACTAAGAATAATTTACGAACTCGCTTTAATGCTCATAGGTCAGACATCAAATTAAAGAAAGACAAGCCTGTTTCTAATCATTTCAACCTCGTGACCATTCAATAGACGATCTCACCCTAATCCCAATTGAGCGTATAGAAATTGACTTGCCCGAAGATGAAACTACCAAATTCCGTCAATCTAGGGAGGCCCATTGAATTGAGACATTGAATACAGCAAGACCTATAGGACTAAATATTCATCATAATGTAGGCATAGCACCCTTTGTTGTCCCGTTTAATACAACCAGCAATCGAGCAAGCAAGATAGTTCATGCCCACTATAAGAGCCTTCAAGAGAAATTCCCCCATGTCTATAAGCAGAAAATGATAGTTGCATATTCAAAAAATAAGAACTTAAATGATAATATTGTTCATAGTAAACTAAAAACAATCAGTACATAACAGATACTATACTTAGAAATATATGTACTGTAAAAAATAAAATTAAATTTAGATGCACACATGGTTAACCACCCCATTAATTTCATAATATATGCCTGTTTTGACCGACCTTTGTTCAAAATAAAGACAATCACCATCTTATCACAGTTGAATAAAATCCTTTTCCCTGTCTATTCCTTGCCCCACGACATGGCTGCTACTACAATTGGATAAAGCTCTAAAAATGCCATAGAACTTGGCCAAGCAATAAATTAAGTCAACTCAGAAATAGGCCATTGTTCTGAAAACCAATGCCCTGAATAATAACCTCCAAAACCTAATGTTGATGATGCATCAGTAAACAATTTGAAGTCAATATAACTAATTACCTTTGGTTCATAAAACATATTTAAGCCATTCCAATTTTTTTTAAAATCCTGTCACATAATTAAATCAAACTTGCATTCAGAATTCAAATGAACATAATAATAGCTTTCCTTTACACTACAGAACACATCAATCTATATAGGTAACTAACAAAAGACCTTCCAGGCAATATCACTCACATAGCAAAATCAAATGCCCAAAAGGTCAAAAATTACCTCTATGATATAATTGTTTTGCGCAATCCAACAGATAGCAGTTGCTAATAAATCAAATAATTTAGGGATACTACGGCAGCCAAATACCAATCTTACAAAAAAATAATAAAAACCTTTCCATTTGAAACAAAACCATCTCATTTGAGCAAGGTGAATAGCCAAAAGCTTAAATGCATCAGCGATATCAACTTTACAAAGCTAAGGATGTTGCATCGTCAATACGAATATAAGTAAGAGAGCAATGGTCTTTGTCTATGAGATCATTAATACTTTGAAAAGTTGAATTCTCATGAGGAGAAGATAAGTCTAAAACTAAAAGAAAGAATATCTATGCGTAGCTAAACTTAAAGGACTGACTCTATATTTATCAAAAGGTGGCTGAGTAAAGGGTCCCTTAATAAACATGTAAATATTTACAAAATATCGAGTGGGCGTTCCCTTGGTAGAACGGCAAGACAGTCTGATAGAAAGTACATTTAAAAACATCCCTAAACTAATAGGCCTACTATAAAAACTAATGTAAGCCTATCTATAGGCCTTTCTATATCTAAACCGTAACTTTATTGTTTTTGTGTTTTTATCATAGTAATAGCGATAATAAAACCTAATCTACCAACGATCCGAACCGCAATTTCATATGCGGAAATATATCAATAAATGAGGAAGTATTTCATAATGAAAGTGGCATCAGGTGTCAAGAATGGTAAGCATCTCCTGCATGGTCTGGGCGTTGAATTCGAATGATTATACCTTCAATATAGAGTATGAGATCTTTGTTATTACCATCAACATCTCTAACAGTTGTTAAATTAGGGTATTTCTCTGGGCGTGGTAGTTTGATGAATCTTGGAGCAATGCTTAAGAAAAAATCGGCAACCTCATAGTATATCAAGGTAGTAGTTTTAGCCACGCCACTTGAACCACCTGAAGCCAGATATACCAAAATGTCTCCATGCGTTTTTGATAAACACACATTTGTCTCCTTGCTGGGTCTCCATGTATAGAATCATGATACTCGGCCGATAACTCATCTTATTCATGTTGATTCACTCGGATATGAGGATCAATCGGTTGCGCACTTGTAGCAGGTTGCCTTTCCAAATTGTCGCCTCTATCTTGTACAGCAATAGCTTGAGCAACCGGTAAAAATCATTTTAAATGAAATAAAATGGCTGCTAACACCAACACTAAACTTTAACTCATGACCCTAGAGATTAGTTTACTGGGAAGGGAGGTTTTGATTCTCCCAAATGTACAGGCCTAGGTTGGAGCAGACATTTTATTTAGAAATTAGGATCAAGTGTCTTGATATTGGGTTTTCTTCTGTTCTTATTCTGATCCGAAATTAGAAAAAATAACTAGCCCAATGGGCGAGAAGTATAGTATCTGTTATGTACTGATTGTTTTTAGTTTACTATGAACAATATTATCATTTAAGTTCTTATTTTTTGAATATGCAACTATCATTTCCTGCTTATAGACATGGGGGAATTTCTCTTGAAGGCTCTTATAGTGGGCATGAACTATCTTGCTTGCTCGGTTGCTGGTTGTATTAAACGGGACAACAAAGGGTGCTATGACTACATAATGATGAATATTTAGTCCTATAGGTCTTGCTGTATTCAATGTCTCAATCCAATTGACGGAATTTGGTAGTTTCATCTTCGGGCAAGTCAATTTCTATATGCTCAATTGGGATTAGGGCGAGATCGTCTATTGAATGGTTGTCGAGGTTGAAATGATTAGAAACCA